AGTGGTGCAAGCAGTAGCTACAGAGGGGTCTATACTCATGCAGCCGTAGCAATGTGCTGTATCTCTTGACGAAGGCAAGACTATATAAAGCAAGTGTAAAAGAGATGAGTGATCCCGGAGTGGTGCAAGCAGTAGCTACAGAGGGCTCTATATTCATGCAGCCATAGCAATGTGCTGTATCTAGTGACGAAGGCAAGACGATATAAAGCAAAAGAGATGAGTGATCCCAGTGGACTGCAGTGCTAGTGTTCAGCTAGTTTTTCAAGGAAGATGTTGAGCTTAACTTGTGGTAATGAGTTAACTCATGATGCCACAGGTTCCTGAGATGCTCAGAGCACAGGCAAGCAGCTGAATTCTGTCCTTGCTTTCTTGAGATGTTGTTGCAACTATTCCAATTGCTTCCCTAAGGAAAGGCTCTATTCTCCATGCTATGTGCTGGCTTTGCTGTGGCTGCAGCAGAGGACACAAGCACTGAAGTGATCCCGGTGACACAAACCCAGCCCGTGGCATCACCTGCAGCTGCCTGCCCTGCACTCGCGATTATGCAAAGCTCTCGCTGAGCTGCTGGGCGCTTCTTGAGCGTCTGCTCTATCCAGGTTTTTGGCTCTGTCGCTGCTGTTCAAAGCAGGCTCTTGTGCAAGGCAGGCTGCTTGCTCACCCCTGCAGCTGTCACCAGTGGAAGTTGTTCCCATTTACCCATCACCGCGAATGTGCATCTAGAGCTACTTCTGCCACAGAAGCAGTGGGACTGGAAGCAGCCACCTGAGTTGGTTCTTCTGTCTGAGGCTTATTCTCAAACAGGGTGTACTTAGGTCCGAGCATCAAGGAGGGGCAAAGGCCATTTTTGTGCTGTTAGAACTTAGGGCAGATTTGGTGGTTCTTGGCTCTGGCACTTGCCTGGTGACTGTAGGACAGGAGGCAGTTGTTTGTGCTCAAGGAGATGGTTCCACCTTTTCAGGAGGAAAAGGAATGAGGGAATCGAGCATCACCTTTCATTACAACCTTCCCGTTAGGCTGATGTCTCTCCAAGAGATGCTGAAGGCTTCCATGGCGTGGTGTGTGCAGAGATGGCACCATCCTGGAGGGGCAGATGGGCTGGATGAAGGCCTGGCAGTGGGACCTGCGCCCATGGCACCCACTGCTCTGCCCTGCACGTGGCTGTGCAGCAGCAATGGCACTAGAGCAGGCAGGTTCTACTCCAGCTAAATGTCTCCGGAATACTTAATGCAAAACTCAAGGCCTAGTTCTTATTTAAATTCCTTGTCTTCCTAATTTGAAAGACATTAAGTTTTGGCCTTTGCTTTTAAGCAGATGGATGCTCATCATTTACTTGTATGGGCCCTTTTCGTGCCACCCTATCTGTTCGGTGCAGGAAGAATTTGCATTAGTATTGAGGTAGATCAAAAGATTTTCTTGGCACATATGCTGCAAATAATGTCTTTTCCTGGGGGAAAAAATACAGTCTTTTCCAAATGGTTTCTGAGATGATCATGATCAGTGTAATTTTTTTAATCTACCTTCTTCCTCTCCCTTCCCAAAGCAGCATCACATAAATGATACACGGCTTGCTAACAGAAGCATAACATGAGCAGAGACGTTTTCAATGTTTTATTTTAAGAAAATGCACTCCCCCCCAAAAGATCATTCTAATTCCTGGGAGCTCTAAAAGGTAGTAGATGACAGACAGGGGAAGGTGATCAATTAAGACATTAAGCATTTGGACCACACGGGCGCATCTGCATGTCAGCCAAATAATAAGGCCATCAGCTCATTTTCAGGGGCTGTTGCCTACTTCAACTCAATCCTCAGATCAAAGGGAAAATGTCTGCTTGCATTTTCTAATCAGAAAAGGGATGCTAATTTAGGTTCCTTAATGTGTGGTGGTAAGAGACTTCTTCAATTAACTGAATTCTATAGCTCTGAAAATAAAAAAAGGGGATACAAAGGGAGTCAGGCTGGAAAGGCAGAAGTTCTCGTTAAATCAAAGGTCCAATATTCAAAACCTCCAGCATCTGGGGCTAAACACTAAACATGGAGATCATCAAAGGGGATTTAATGGGTTAAATTGAGAATATAATCTAATTAAAATATTAGATACGAGTAAATAGCTCTTTGATATTCATCTGAAGGTTTCATTAAAATAGGCACTTGAGGTTTGTATTAAGGGGGGATTATCACTTTTAAGCAGAGATGACAAGTTGAGGTTCCCTAATCAGAAATGCTTCAAAGTGTTACCATTTGGTTTAAAAATAAAGCTAGAAAAGCAGAAACTGGCGGGAAACGTTTCCATGCCACAACTGGGGGCCAAATGTGTAGATCCCACACAGGAGGAGAGAGCAGGCAAAGGCCAAGGACTGTGCTGGGAAGGAAGCAGCGGAGTGAGGAGATCCCTGCTTCTCATGTGGGCCAAGAGGACTTGAAACGAAGATGTGACTTCAATGCACAACTACTGGAACTTGGCACACCCCTCCAATGAAAGGTTAACTCAGAAATGGGCTACATCTTAGTATTTTTATCTTTAACAAAAGGTTCTGTGGAGAAAAAAAAAAAAAAGCCATTACCAAGATACTAACTTTAATTCCCTACCTTACCTTCCCACTGCTGGTCTCCTTCAGGGAGACTTGCGCCTGTCTTTGCCCAAAGACTAATTGTCTGCCCCTCACTCTAAAGGAGAACTATTAAATTGGCTAAAGCAATTAAACGTAATAATAGACTATTTAAAAGAAAAAAAAAATGCACATTTTACAAGGCCCATTTCCTAAGAGATTTTGGTGGTGGTATCTTCCGATTTCCCTTGCTGTGTTTTCTAATCACATTCCACATGCTGATTTAATTCATAAATTACTAAGTTAAAGAAACAGAACTATCATAAGAAACCCATCTGTTTGTTGTTTTTATAGATTTAATCTGTTATAAGCTGTTTCCTCTCAAACATGTAGCTCTCAATTATCCTCAGCTACTTAATGTATTTTTTCAACAGCTTCTGGCTAATAACAGATTGTCTCCATGAACAGCCAGTACTTGCTTTGCATTTGCTTGTCCTAGATGAAGTTTCAAAATTTTGTCCTTAGAGTGAAAATGATTCACTAACAGATAACATAGCAACAGTTGAATAACTAGAATTTTATCATTACCAGGTCATATAATTTGCTGCCTGCTTTTCATTCCTTATGAGCAATGGATTATCTGGGGCTGTGTTTATGGCTAGTCTGCCAAAGTCTCCTCTGCACTTGAAAGAGAAACATGGTTGGTATTTTTATTTTTAATGTTTCATATATATGTTTGCTTGTTTGGCACGGTAAAGAATGATCTGGCTGTGAGAAGCCAATAACTGATTAATCTGAAAGATGCAACTGCTAGGTGAGATTTAAAGAGTAGGGGGGAGGGCAAAAAAGAAACACAGATCATCATATTTAATGTTACACATGCAACTGTTTATTTTTTTTAAAAATGGTCTTCTAGTTTTGATTCTAAAACCAAAAAATTATGAAAACACAGACCACCTTATATCTCTGTGGGATGATAGATTAACAAGTGTAGTAACAGCTCATAATTAAACCATTTGGATAATATCTGCCTTGAAGAATTCCCTAATCATTTCAAATTACCTATAAGATATGCAGGGTTCTGAAAGCAGCTACAACTTGCTTTTCCTTCTCATGCCTGTGCTGTAAAGTTTCCAAGGATGCAATCTGAGGTAAATAGTTTCTTCTTAAAATCTGTGACGGAACTTTTTCGTCTTTCACCTCTTCCTCTGGTTGCCTTGTCACAAAAGTTTTTGGTCGAGGAATCTTCTTAGCATATTCCAGAGCCTAAGAATATGAATATGAAGGTAACTGCAACCTAAAAGAACAACTGGACTTAAAAGAAGAAATGGACTCTTCTTACCTTCTGCCTTGACACTGAAGTTGTAACCTTGGGTTTTGCAGGCAACCTCTGAACAGAAGTCATGTTTTTCATGTTGTGTTCTTTAATTTGCTTTGCATATTCCTTTTGTTGCCTTAACTTCTCTTTCTGACGAAAGGAAACAAATGTATCATTAATCAAACCTCTCAGTGGATACATCAATGAACAGGAGTCTTCCATTTACACCCCTGTTGCTGTTTAACCTGTCTGTTATTGATCATTCCTCAGAAGAACCCATCAGGAAATGCTGATAAATAGCACATTTTTTAGTTACTCCTCATTTTAAGAGCTCTTTCTTGGACTCTATCTTGGATAGAGATCGATGTAAATGCAACAGATGGCATCTTTTATTCTCGGGGGGCTGCAACTATACAGCTGTCCTTCCTTCTATTTAAATCTTCCTCTAGGAACTCCGGATAGACTGTGAGTCAAGGACACAAGGTCCAAAGGCCTCTCAGCAATGATTTCATGGCCTTACTCCTCCACCTGCAGTCCCTTGGCACGACTGAAAAGCACACCACAGCATGGGGACCACCTACTTTCTCTTTGACTGCTTCATAGTCAGGTCCAAGGCCTCCGAGTCTCACGTTGAGATTGCTGTAGTAGGCTTTGGAACGATACAGCTGGAAAACAAACAGCAGTAACAGGTTTTCCTCTCTATATATATGCTTTTCAGAGAGCATAATTAGCACAAGTCTTGTAGTGGACACTCAAAATAAGAGTAGGATTCAAGTAGTAATTTCAACCTTAGGTCTGTCTATGGTTTGAACTCGGGAACAGAAAGGGAAGGAAATCTGCCCTGCAGTTACTATCATAATGCAACTAATTCTTCTTAGAGCTATTCAAGCAGCAATACACAAACTGTCTCCTAGATGAAGCACATGAGTAATTATTCCAGCTTAGCTTGTCTGCCCTGAGACATGGAGCAACTTCTTAAACATTTAATTTGTCATGGACACACAGGGATCTCTCTATGCTCATCCACTGCATCTGTGTTAAGTGGGTACAGTATGAAATCTGGATACATAGAAAAGACGAAGAATCCGGTTTTAATAAGGACCACATTGGGATTGTCAGCAGACTTGTAATAATGTTTATGCTATTAGCTTTATAAGTCTTCTAAGTTTGCTGCTGTTCAGTTTGATTCCCTTGGAAACCAAGAGATTTGAGTTGGCTAGCAAATGAGCGTGACCAGGATAATGGTTTGCTCAGGTCTGAGGCCTGGCTACCTGCTGCTTTACACAAACGGCTTTATTTTAAATCACTTTAGCACTGGAATAACTTAAAGGACAAACGCGGCTCTGTGTTGTGAGCTAATCGAGTCTGAAAGTGATGTGGGAATCATCGTGTTAGTTGGTACTCTGCAAAAATAAAACAGTCCTCGGTCACCTTTTTTTCTTTATTTTCTGTGAAGACCTTTGGGTTATAGAAAAACAAACAAACCCCACCCTAACCAGAGGAGGAAACAAATGTAAAGCTATGTTCCCATCTATGCCTATTTTCTTACCTTCCTGTGGACTCGAGGCTGTTTTTGCTTTTCCATTTGCACTAGGTAGCCTTCGGAGTTGCTTCGGCTTATTTTGGCTTGACTTCCTTGGCCCCTCTCCGCACTCGGCTCTGAGCCGCTTCCCGGCATTATCGGTGGGAGCAGGTTGAAGCAGAGCCTGTCAGCTAAGGGAGGACGTGTCCATTGAGTTGATCCTTGGTGGTGGTGCTCCATGGCACGTTGGGAAGCTGGGCAAAAGGCTGCTGGTGAACTGTGAGCAGAAGAGGAGGGAGGCCTCAAAGAAGAAAGAAGGTATAAAACAGTGCTTCATTTCTTAATAGCGGATAGATGATAGACACCTCAGCAAGAAATCTGTACATAGAATCAGTCTTGTTTAGAGAATTTATTAGGAGCATGAAGATGGAAACATGGGAATTTCACAATGTCTGACTTTGTTTGCACCCAAGTGCATGGAGGCCGTCTAAATCAAATAGAAAAAACTGTTGGAATTTTTCAGCTTCATGCAAAGCTAGTTTAAGTCAATGCAAACTGCCTTTAAAAGGCTGTGGGTCCGACTTGGTAAAAGTTGAAAAGATTATTATTTTTTGCCTATTTAATTTAAATCTTTCATTTTCATCAGAGCAATCTGATTTTAGATGTTCATGCTCTTTCCATGTCAACAGTGCCTAAACTCTTTTCTGAGAAATTCAGCACAAGAATTTTTGACTTAAATGGTAATACAATGTGCCCAGAATGACCTTAATGGCAAATGCTGATGACTTTCAAAACCTGGGTTTAACTCTCTGCAGGTAGCACGAGACTTAGCTTATGCCCATGGCTTTTGTTTTTGGGCTGCACTTTTAGCCTTTCGGAGAGAAACTTTAAACCACAGAAAACTGTGCTTGCAAGAGTACATGGCATATGGAAATGTTCTTTTCCAACAATACATTTTAAAAATCAATAGTTATAATGAATCTGTAAGTTAGAAATAATATATAGAATAGCTATATCACATAAGACCTTAATATTTTGTACTTAGTGTTTTTGTCCTTCTTATTTATCTGGGGATCACAGTGTTAAGAAAATATTGTGATTATCCTTAAACTTGAGCTGAAGTGATATACTGTAAAAGTGAAGTATATTTAGGAATCATCACTTTGTAACTAATATATCAGGTGTTGCCCCTCTGGAGGAAAGCCATGGCTTTCCTTCTAGGTAATATACAAATCCATTCCCAATCCATTTAATCTTTGTCAGCACTGAAATCCTCTATTTCACCCTCATGTCTCACTAGGGTTCTTTTGTTAGCAACACTTGCAATCACTACCTAGCATACACACTCAGAATAACTGCCTAATGGTAGGTATTAAATCCACATATAGAGAAGAATGTTTTGGTGAAAGCTTTAGCACTGGGGAATCCTGACTCCTGGTGCCAAGAGGATGATTTGTTAGCTCGACCTCTGCAGCAATGATTAGAGTTCTGGCATATTGTGCTACTGGTGGAAAGTAAGAACTGCTGCCAAACTGGGACTAGGCCAAAGTCTGCCCATTTAGATGGAACAACCATGCAAAATATAAAGGAAATCTCTTGCAACGAATAGCAGCATCAAATCTTGTTCACTCTTTTACCAAGTGCAGCTTCCAGTCTTAAGTGAATTGCAGGTAATTTAAGCAGTTTACCTGAATTATTTCAGGTAAATTTGATACAAAGATAACAATTCGATTTGCTAATAACAGTCTAGCTGGCTTCAAGTTCTGGTTCTGAAACGCTTTGTTTTTTGCAGTGATGATACCTGGTGTCCTCTATTACTAACCACGGCGTTGGTCTGAAAGGTAAGCATAAACCAGCTCTGTAGGCTGGAGCTCACCACAAATCTTAGTACCTGTAAAATTCTGTTTTATGGTAACCTCCAGGTGTACACTGGAATTTTGGGGGACAAGGAATATATAATAAGGCTATAGGAATATAATAAGGCTTATAATACTCATGAATCATTAAAATAGCCATATACTAGTTTGCATTTTAACTTCTTGTAACCAAATCATGTCCTAAATACATGTCATTCTTTAAGATCAGAATTTCTTGGGATTAGGAGATCTACTTTGTTTTAAAAGCATTCAATATGAATAGCAGTGTAGGTTTTAAATTTTTATGGGTTATCTGAGTGATTATCTAAGGATTTGCATTCAGTAACCAATATTTCAAAGATGCCTCACAGACTGAAATATTCAAATTAATATGTTTTTTACATATATATTTCAGC